GACATCAGTGGTTCAACTGTAATTTTACGAAGCAGGTATTTCTTTGCTCACAAAAAGTATTCTCGTAGCTTCGTAAAATTACGGTTGAACCCCTGATGTCACATGGACTATTTTAACAATGTCCTTACTACCTTTCTGGGCCTTGAACATGTCAGTTGCATTGCTGTCTATGGAGAGTCAGAGAGTTCTCGCATTTCATTCAAAATATCTTAATTTGTGTTCTGAAGATGAATGAAGGTCTTTTCATTTTTGAGTAAACTATCCCTTTAAATCAATTCTGCAGCTTTCTCCTTCAAATAAACATAGAAAATATCTGTTGATTTCACTGTATATATAATAACAGCTTTTATAGTAAACAACCCTCTAAAATGTGCTGTATATACTATGGAATTGATGTAATTGGATATGAATTATCAAGATTATTGTTTTCAAACTATTCAATGTAACTCGATCTCTCTCTCAGTGGAGACCCTATGTTGGACGCTGATGGCGATTTCGATCTGGACGACACCATGGATGTAGCGAGGCATGTAGAGGAACTGCTCCGTCGACCAATGGAGGGCCAGTGGAGCGGCCAGCAGTCATGACCTCTTGACCTATGACTTCTCTCCCTAAACAATGTTTTTTTTTTTTAATACATTTTTCTCCTTCTACTCTTAGTGTATTTTCCCCATTTGTTTCTCAGTGTGGGTCTTTATGACTTTCAGTTTAGCTTTTTCTCTATCTCTCTTTTTTCTCTTTCATCACACCTCTTTTACTTTCCCCCATCCCTTGTTTCTGTAGAAGAGAAAGGAGCTAATGGAAGAAGAAAAATACAATGAGCCTTCCTCTAATTAAATACCACCAAACAGTATTGTAGGAAAAGAGAGAGAAAGAGAGAGAGAGAGAGAGAGAGAGATGCATGTTATCTCTTTTCCTTTGTGCATGTATTTGTTTCAAATTGACTTTTCGCAGAACAAATCTGTGAAACCCTTAAACGGAAATGTACTACTGTAAGGAACATTTTTATGTTTTTCAAACTGTTCTATGGTTTATTTTGAGGGTGTTCCGATATCTATTGCATCTGAAGTAAATGCATATTATCCTTTGCACTCTTAAACGAATGCTTTCTTGCAGACGATGACATTATTGTTACTATGGCGATTGCAATATAACGCTTCTGTACACTAAAGAGTGTTTAGGTTGCAAGGCTGTTAACATTCGTTGCATCTACATGAGCACCGACAGGCTGAATGGGTTTAATCATCCCTTCGCCGTCTGTGTTTAATCTGAACCGTGAACATAAGTTACACCCACATCCAAACCAGCAGCACCACGACCTGTCACTCACATCGTTGAAACTGAGGTACACATGAGAAACGCACACGCGCCCGCTCGCATCCGTCCCACGTAAAGCGATGGAAACACATGGGGTAGAGAAAGGTCCGCTGAGCGTCTCGGCTCACGCTACACTACACAGGCCGTCTCTCTTTCTCTGTCTGTCTCTCTCTCCAGTGCAACAGGTGATGACCTCTTCTGTTCTCATGCTTCCCTCTCGGAACAAAACAAGAGAACCCGTCGTCATGGTTACACATACTGCTTCTGGAATGCTCCTAACTGGCCTTCCTACTGGTTCGCATTTCTGTATGTCACCTTGTTACCGACCTGCATCTTTTTTTCTTTCGCACTCTGCATACACCTAGGCCACTCAGGACATTGACGTACAGTTGATGTAAAATACCTATAATAATAATAATCGAATATAAATAAAAATACGACACATTTAAAAGAAAGTACCTACATCCAGAATATATGAATTTATTTTTTGTTAACATATTTCTATTTTATTACTGTAGGACGCTAGATGGCTCCATCCCTCTTTGTAGTGCAAAATGACGCTTTACTGTGTCCGATTGTCTGTAGAAGCCCTGACGTACTGATCCAAAATCAGTACTCAAAACTATTATCGACACAAAGCGGTCGGTCGCTGCCATCTCAGTAGTTTCACTTCAGATTTCAGCTGAGCTTTTGCATGGAAGAAAAGGCCAAATAGTGAAGTTAGCACGAAGAGACGTTTTCTGTGTGCTTACTGTATGTGTAATCTGCAAACCTGACTAATTACTCCTACTTTTAGATGCCTGTGTTCATTTTTAAAGGATGGTTTATTCCTCACAGTGGATGTTGTTTTTTCCCCCTCTCTATTTCTCTGTCATGGCAGAGACACATAGGAAGCCGTGTGATTTTTCTTTATCTTTTTTATTGTCTTTGTTTTCAAATTGATCTGTCATGTTGTTGTGTAGACTGTTTCTCACTGTATGTATGTGTGTGTGTATGTGTGTGTGTGCGCGCATGTGTGCACGCACACGCATGTGTTGGCATGTTCAGCTCTGCTCTGTTTTGTGTTCGTCACATGTTTGGATGTAGCGAAGAGCAATTGAATTGACAATAAAGTTTTTTTTGTTTTGTTTTCTATAATTTGGACTCCAGCACAAGTAGTGTGAGCACTTTGTCTTTAATGTGAGAATTGAATGAACTTGGGTTCATAATTGGTGTGATTTCCCTAACTGATGATCTAACAGTTTGTGCACCTTGACATTTTACAAACCATTTGTAGTCTTTCTATCAGGTCCTTTGTAAATGGTTTCTGAATAAGTGACTTAAGAGCAAAATCACTGTGTACTTCGCAACTACTCTTCCTAACAGCATGTTTCTTAGAAAACTCAAGAGTTTGTATTTTTCTTCATGAACTAAAAACAGACATTCCTCTTTATGGGCTCCAGTTGTTGGACTATTTTCAGCAAGAATCGAACAAAATATTCAACATTCAGGGGACCAAATGTAAAAGTTAAAGAATCTGTCAGTGAAAACATCATATTGGCCAATGTATAATGGGAAAAATATTACAACCCTGGTTTTCAAAGCTGTTTTCCTGATTATCATGATGGCACATCAATGCCACACTGCAAGAATGAATGCTGAGTGTGAACATGAATCAACATGCAACAACCATACCTGTCCTTTTTTGCAAAATCTGAGCCATTCTCTCACACTTTCATCATTAAAATCATGTGTATGTATGAGAGAACACACAAATGATGAAAACAATTATTAATCGTTTTTTGACATAGAAGCACACAAAGATTGTCCCAGGTCTTGGTAAGAGTCAGGGCCTTAGTAGGTCAAGTCAAGTCACCTTTATATAGTGCTTACAATACAGATTGTGTTAACACAACTTTTACAGTGTTAAACAGGAAAATAGTGCGTCAATAATGCAAGAGGACAATAGAAAACAGTAAATTCTTCAGTTCAACTCAGTTCATCATTGATTCAGTTATGTCGTCCAGCTCAGTTCAGTTCTCCAGTAGTGTCTGTGTAATCAAGTAGACAGTATTGCCAGAAATGACAAACGTTTCAGTAATAATATGTTGGATTAAAAGTTAGTATGAATGAATAGTCGCGTAAATAAAGCTAGCCAACAAAGTAACATAGCCATAGCAACAATATGCTGCTTGGAAGTTTTATGTTGGCAAAACAATAGAAAAATTATTGACGTTTGTTTTCACTTGATTATATTTTTAGGCTATTTAACACAAAATGCATGTGTTTTGTTTACAAAATCTTGCCGCTTAGATAACTTTTCAAACTTGGCGCGAAACGACAGTCTATGGTTGGACCACGCACAGGAAAGCATGTCTACAGGTAAGGTTAATCATTTAAAAAAAATTTATAAAGCCGAAATTCCTTAAAAATATATTTACATAAACATTGACACTAAAGTGCTTATATGAAATTGAAAAATTATTGCAAATTGTTTTATATCAAATTAACGTTATATAGCCTATCCTGTTGTAGCCTATGCAGGGCTTGACATTAAGCATTCTCATGTGGTTGTCCTTCGGACAAGTACATTTGTCATTTACTTGTCCGAGTATAAAAGTTACTTGCCCGGAGAGAAAAAATACATTTAAATTGAGTTATAAATATATTTATTTATTGTAGTTATACAAAACATAGTGTAGTGTTTATAGAGTATGTGTATAGATTTTGTGAGCATGTCACATTTAGTTTATTTAGTTAGATTTTTCTTTTTAAATAAAATAAGCAAAATAATAAAGTGAAATCAGTATCAACAAAATGCATCTTTGCAATGCAGAGGAAACACAGAAGCTGCATCTGAAGTGGAATAGATATATTTACCCACTGTTTAATGCAGCTCTGAGGGACATGGGATGCTTTAACCTGCATTACAAATGAATAAATAATGTTTTGATACATAAAACGTTGAATACTGATATTTGAAATTATTTTTTTAAAACTTTAAATGTGAAATTAAAACCGCCAGTAGGTGGCATCAAGTCATAAGCGAGTAATTGCGATTGAACCGAATCATTTAAACGGTTGATTCATTCAGGAACGAAACTCGCTCATGTTGCTCAGAGACGCAAAACAGTGCTGTGGCTGTGTTTGGAATTATTTCTGTTGGCGAAATAGAACAAAAACAGGCAATATGGTGTCTAAGACGTAAGTCTCTTAATATTAACTTCTTGTTTATTGAACTGTTGTATAAAATCACATTTGTAATCATGCTGATTTTTGGAGCAAAAAAACGCCGCTCGATCTTCGTGTGATATTGTTTAACTATATGAAATTATATAAATATATAAATTTCCTGCCCCCATATATTGAATTTTCTGATCATTCTTCATGCATTTTAATACTAAATCATGCCGTGAAAGAACGCACATGTGCACACAGTAGTCAACATTTGAAGTGGATCAAAAAAGTTCATCAAAGTTGTCCTAAGACAAGAACGCATTTTGGTTTTAGGTTTTAGGACAACTTTGATGAAAGGTTTTGATCCACTTCAAATGTTGACTACTGTAGTCTAACCTACTAGACTTCTTTACGTAGGCCCAATGGATGCTCTGTAGGTGTGTTTTGTTTGACTTTTTTGCGATATACTCGATAATGTCAAATCGCACATCATTAAAACCACAATTACGATATTATCGCAGACGATATATATCGCACACCCCTACCACAAGGCCAT